ATAGTCATTCAGTCAGTCAGCCTGTCATTTAGTCAGTCAGTGAGTCAGTCAGTCAGTCATTCAGTCAGTCAGCCTGTCATTTAGTCAGTCAGTCAGTCAGTCAGTCAGTCTGTGAGTCAATCATTCACTCAATCAGTAGTTAGTCAGTCAGACAATCAGTCTATCAGTCAGTGAGTCATTCAGTGAGTCATTCAGTCAGTGAGTCAGTCAGTCTGTCTGTCCGTCCTTCATTGTCTGTATGTCTGTCAGCCTGTGAATGAAACACTTGACGCACTAGGATTTTGTTTTCTTTACCTGCAATTTTTTCCATTTCAATCCGCATTTGGCCTGACGACGCGTACGCGGGAGGAAGGGGTGGGGGATTTTCTGTGTCATTTCTCTCCTCATCAATATCTTCGCTACCTTCAGTATCATGGCGGTGCTTTGACTTCTTGCTCAAGTCCACTTTCGCGTACGTATCGTCTCTCGGCAAAAAGGTAACCTTGTCTACTTGTGCAACCTCGCCTTTTGTTGATCGCATCATATGAACAGAATTGGCGCGTTTGTCTAACTTGATCCCAGGTCTTTGCAGTCCAGTTGTATCGCTTTGTGTTCTATTTCTTTCAGAATCTGCGCTGTTTTCAGTGTCGATCATTAATTGGAACACTTCTTTTTTATCGACGGATGCGTATTTGTGGTTTGTATCAGCTCGATTTTTTCGTTGTTTATCGACATCTTCATACAAATCAGAGGCTTCCAAATCCTCCTGTTGCTCTTCATTTTTTATTCTGGAATAAGGATCCTCTGCCTCTTCTAAGGCCTCTGAATTTTCTGCGAGCTTCTCCTTCTGTTTCAAGTTCTTAATTCTCGAATATGGATCTTCAGGATCTTCAGGATCTTCAGGATCTTCAGCTTCCTCAGCAACCGTTTTCTCCACGGTTTTCTCATTTGTCGTGTCCTTTTTTTTGGCTTGCTGCACTTCGGCATACAGATAATCATTCCTGCTCGTGTCACAAGCGACCACCTCGTAATTCCCGCTGTCTTCGCCAGTGTCGTGATCAAGGGATAGAGCCCGAGGTTTTCCGACTTTAACTTGAACAGTGTCGTATGCATTGTCGGAGGGAGACGGAGGGGAGACCCTCACTCTCTCCATGGACTTTGTCTTGCGCACCTCAACAGTCTCATAATTATTATCCTCTTCGGCCGCATCGGGAGCGGAAAAATGTCTTTGAGGAATGGGAACCACCGGAAGTGGAAGTACTGAAGGCTCCGGCGGAAGTGGAAGTCCTCGAGAATGCCGTTCTAGAGTGGGTGTAGCTACTCGAGGCCTCTCGACAGGATTTTCGTGCAAGACGTGTTTTTCGTCTTTATCACTATCCGAAGAGCCCGTTCTGCTCTTTGTTTTCCCAGTTTTTATCTTCATCTCTTTAGATTCTTTCCTCGATCGTCTGTGTTTGCGTTCCTCTTCTTTGAACACATCGGAGGATCTATCCGTGCCGGAAATTGTGCCATTACTTCCTTTAGCAGATCGAGTTCTCTTCCAAAACCTGCCTTTATGTTGATCATGTTCATGTTCATTGCCTTGTTTGCTTTTTGAGCTTCCCGATTTTGAGTTGACAGTCTTAGGTTCTACAGTTTCATACTCTGATGGCGTGTTATCCGGCTGCACGGCGTCATCGTCATGTTGCAGCGCGTGCTCCGCGCTATGCGGGCGTGACTGTGGTTCCGATGCGTGTGCACTACTCGCCGGTTCGGGGGACTGCGTGCTATTCGGCGGCACGTGCTGCCCGTGCAGCTCGTGCGACTCGTGCGACTCGTGCTGCACGCTTGATGTACTTTCAGGACGCTCATTGCATGAAAGGACAATCTTAGATGTGTGATTATTTTCCGCCCCAAAATTTTCTCCTATCTTTTCCACTGTTCCGATATCAATTTGCGACTCGTCGACGACTTCCTTCTCGGGCTGTTCTTCTTTTGGGGGTATCTTGAAACACAAATAACAAAATGAGAAAAATTCTGGCCATATTTCTATATAACCCTACACTTTAGTATGCAAGCAGTTATTTGCTACAAGAAGACACTAGTTTACATGCTAAACTGCGGGTCGAGAAGCCTGGGGTCGAGATTCGGTCGTATCAATGTGTTGTGTTCTTGGGCAAAACACTTTAATCTCACGGTGTCCCACCCCATCCAGGAACTGTCAGGGAAAGCTGACGAATTGCCTGAGGAGGGGTGGGGGTAACCTTGTAATGAACTAGCATTCCATCCAGGGGAGGGTGTAGTAAAACTCCTTGTTGATTCACGCTATGGAAACCAGGATCAGCTCTTGCTCGGTGAGCCACTTAACTGAGTGCAGACTTTATAGTAACTCTAGTTCCCAGTCTCTTTAAAAAACAAGAAAGCAAAACAAGAAAGATCCTGAGGAAAAGATTAATTGAAACATTTTTCATGTTTTGTTTCTGTCTGTCTGCCATTGAGCCTCTCAATTTTGAAATTTCATTTGCTCCATCAATCAGTCATTGACAATGCATATAGAATCATAAAAGGAGAAAAACATCTTTGACATCAAATTTAAAGTCAAAACTTTTTCAAAAGGATGCTCTGTACCTTGCCGTGACTCAAACGATGTTGGAGAGAGACAAGATGAGGCCTGGCATCCGATCTGAGGATTAAAAGTTAAAATCTTAAGTTCATTAGCTCATCAATCCCTAAGAATGATTAACATCTAGAATCTCCCAGCATTGTCACCCTTGAATCATGCATCAAGGCCACAAGAATAAAGGAAATGATCACCAACTTAAGACGTTCTTGATCGTTAAACAAATTCTCCTTGTCAGCGCCTTAGAAAACCCTTGCATAAACTGTACAAATATTTCTATGGATCAGCAGTTTCACCCTTAAAATTTTTTATGCCCGCCTTTTTTTACACCTAAACCTTTCTACCCCTCTTGTGAGGTATGGCATCCCAAGTGTACCCCTTGTGAGCAGGACATTCACCCACAATCCACTGTGATTCTGGTTTCTTAGCTACTTAGAAAAGTAATTGAGTAAGGGGTAAACATTTAATAGCCTCTGCCTACTGAAACAGCCTGCCTAGGAACAGATTTTACCCTGCAACAAAAAGACATCAGTTATGGCATCAAATTTTCATGAACCTTAAATCAATAAACTTAAAACATATACTTACATTGGGTATATCAACAAAGTTGAAATGGTAAATTGGCCACCATAACGATTACAAAAGCTGACGTTTCGAGCGTTAGCCCTTCGTCAGAGCGAAGGGCGAAGGGCTAACACTCGTAACGTCAGCTCTTGTAATCGTTACAGGGGCCAATTTACCATTTCAACTTTTTGATATATCCAAATTATTTGGTTACTGACCCCCAACAAGGCAGCCCCTAACAGTTTCTTTAGAAACTATCAGCCTTTATTCATATACTTACATTGATTCATCATCTTTGTTTACATTACAATCAGTGCATAGGCTTCCAGCAAGAACAAGAATCACCAAACCAGCTGATGCCAGGAGGAGTGGTTTTAGAAATGCGCCATCATCATCATCATCATCATCCTTCTGCATGTCCAGCTGATCAACACTAAGAAGGCTTCTGTGCACATGTATCACCCCTGAAATCAACAGTACATATATCTTATTAACCAAGCGCGAGGGCCGCACTGGGAGAATATCAGCGTGAGGTCTTGACAGTATGGACCAAGCACAGCTTGGTCCGTACAAAAAAGACCAAGAGCCGATATTCTTCCAGTACGGTCCCAAGCAAGCTTGGTTAATAAGAGATTTATTATACGACTGAAGTTCAAAGGGACACAAGTGCGGTATCATTCGGGACCATTCGGGACAGTGCCCGGTCCAGTGCTGAGAGAATATTGACCGGCAATAGAGCATTTTGATTGGTTGATTTTAGTTATTGGCCCTCTGACTGCCCAAGTTGTGTAATAAATACCTCTCACAAACTGAGTCTGAGGTTGGTAATGTAAGTTGCAGACTGTTTATTTTATTTACTGAGATATATGGCTATGTGCTAAGCAAGCAGGCCATAAATCAGAGTGGAGAAAACTAGATTTCCCAACTTACAGTACTGACCAAGAAAATGAAGTCAGTATAACATATTTATCGTATCTCTGGGTTTAAATAGAGAGGGAAGATTTTAATTCAAACAAACTTTTGAATTTAGCCTGCCAGGGCTAGACACTAATGGAAGCCAATTAGCCACAAACTAGAAGTAATTTAGTTTGGACTAGTGGTTTTTGATTTTTCATTTGCCAGTTTGGCTAGTAAACAAACTGAAATTGTTGTAGCATCTCAGTTGTCACTAGCCACTTGGCTAGTAAGTTAGAAAGTTAGCGTCAAGCCCTGCCTGCTGTACAGTGAAATACTGCCTATTAAATTTTGACCAATCATAGCTCACAAACGGAGAAAGCAAAAAGACTTAAATCAGAGACATACATTTATGTGTCAACAGCTAAGCATTTGCACCCAAAAATATTTTCTGTAGCATTACAGCTGGGACGATGAAATCATCATTAGACTTTTTTCAGTGATTAACACTTTGGCTCTTAAGAGTGACTGACATCTAATTTCTCCTTGCAATGTCACCTCTGAATCACACATTAAGGTCACAAGAAATGATCACTAACTAAAGATGATCATTATTGTTAAACAATAAAACCCTAGACCAAACTGAAGTGCATGAAGCCCTCACACTTCACACACACCCAAACCTACATGTCTATATTCCTTTCCCGATCTGACTTCTCACATTTCTATACCTGATATGTCAAGCACAACAAATGAAGTTTCCAGATTGATTCAAAAAACAAAACGAAACAGAAACAAGTTTCTTGTGGGTTAATGCTCATCAGCTCTGAGCTTGTGAAAAAAAAAAAAAAACTCAAGCTTGCCATTATAGTAACAGGGTTTATTCTGGAGCACACGACTTTTGCAGAATTCTTGCATTTTGAGACAAAAATACTGCAAAAAATTCAAAACTAAGCCTCAAAAAGGGTGCAACAATTTGTGCCTACTTGTAAGAATATTTTTAAGTGATAATTTTTTAAAATAAAGTATGCAAAAACATAATTGGCCAAAGGATTGATGACAATTTCAATATATCCTTTCATCATCTTAATTGCCTTTTTTTCTTCATTTCCTCATTGACTCTAAGAATATACATATAAAATTAACCTTTTACTCCAACAATCTCATTGATAATTCTCCTTGCTTTCTGCTACACACTTTAAGTCATGTTAATTTAAATACATTTGGTATTGGATCACCCAATAATTATCTAAGTTATATCTTTCTTTATATTCATCACTTGTCAGGTTGATATTGTGTTGGTATTGTGAGGAGAAACTCTGTCTTGATCACTCTTGGGAGTTTAAGTAAGAAAACCCCTTCTGAGAGGCCTCTTCGTTGAAAAAGGGCCACTGAAAAATTAAAGGGGGAGGTTATTCAAGGGTTATTCTGGGAATAACCCTCATAGGTTATACTTGTATTCTGGGAATAACCCTTGTTATTCTGGGAATAACCCTTGTAGGTTATACTTGATGAAAGGTTAACTTCTAACTGTAATTATGTTTAGTCTCCAGTCTCTTTAGTCTGTAGCTTTCCTCTTTCCTCTGTCATGTTGTAATTGTATGTGAATATTATTATGTAAAATTGTGTAAAATTAATTTTCAATTGTCTGGCTTGCCACGACTAGCTCTTCGCTATTTGCAACCCAGCCTAGTAATAACCACCTGTTATTACACGACTCGGGCAGTCATGCCAATAACTAAAATCAACCAATCAAAATGCTCTATTGCAGATCAATATTCGCTCCGTATTGGACCGGGCACTGTCCAGAATGGTCCCGAATGATACCGCACTTGTGTCCCTTTGAACTTCAGTCATATAATAAATCATTTATTAACCAAGCTTGCTCGGGACTGTACTGGAAGAATATTGGCCCTCAGTCTTTTTTGTACGGACCGAGCACAGCTTGGTCTGTACTGTCAAGACCTTGGGCCGATATTCTCCCAGTACGGCCCTCGCGCTTGGTTAATAAGATATATGTAAAATTAATTTTCAATTGTCTGGCTTACCGCAACTAGCTCTTCGCTATTTGCAAGGGAGCCTAGTAATAACCACCTGATAGTTACTTGGAAATAAAACTTGGAAACTTGTTATAAACTTCTTGTTGTTGTTGTGGGTAAATTGGAGTTGCATTGTCATAATACACAACTGTATAGGGAAAAGGAAATACCACACGCGCTCTATTTGGTCAAAAAACATGACATATTTTGTTCCACGACATCTACTGGAAACTGAAACATTTCAAAGTTGTTTCATGAAAACAAATCACTGCACATTTTAGTACTTGTTTACACATACTATATCAACCCACTTAGGGTATCACAGACTAAAACACTCAAAAACTAGTTCATGACTCAATTCTTTCAAGAGTTTGCGATATTCTGCGTGGGTTATTCTGCCATCAACTGATGGAAAACTTAGTAGAGGTTAAATGCTTTTGATTTGCTATAATTTGTAAATATTGCACACAGTATACAGCATATGTAATTACAGCTGTATATCTACATCCAATGAGCAAGTGTATATCCGGATGGCAATGAAAAAAGATAGTCAACATAACAATATTTATCCTTCGCTTGGCAGAAAAAGGAGATAATATCGTTCAAATTCACCTTTTTTTGATGATGGAAACCGAATGCAACCATGTAACTTCCGGTTCACGCAAACAATACGAATGATGGAATCCACATCGTTTGAGAGTCGCCCTTGATCTCTTTTGTCAACATGGATCTAAAAAATGTAAACAAAAAAACACTTCTTGAATAATCAGTTTATTGGGAAAAGTATACAATAAATATTTCAAGTCACGATGCGCATTCCAACCAACACAGTACGCCAGAGAGTGGATCTCCGTTTGGGAGGACAGATTTAATTTTTAACGTAAGTGGACAGTTATCCGCATCCATCCGCATCTAACTAAAATCACTTTCACGTATGAATGGTCGCAAGAATGAAAATTAATGATAAGGAAACATATCCTAAATAGTGCTAATAAAAGTTAACTGAGTCGTTGAAAGCATTTTTTAACGGTTAATCTCAAAAATAAATTTGAAAAGAAATTATTTCATACCTTGAGTAGCTCGGGATTGACTTCGGTCACTCCAACTTCGATCCGATCGAATGTTCTTTTGTCGTTTCCTGTAAGCTGGTTCCACTGCGCAGCGCCATTCCAGAACTCCAGATCGCATTTGGTGCTGTTAGCAACCACGGTTGCTGTATTTTTGTAAATCAGATCTAAAGCAATGCGTGAATATTCTTTACTAGCGGCATTCCGCCCGAAATCAAAGCTGCAAAGATTACTTCCGTCAAATCTTTGTTCCAAAGGCATTCCAGAAACAGAAGGCATCCACCCGCTCTCACCGGAAAAAAAGAAGCTTAAAACCACCCAGCAGAGCTGAAAACACCTCATCTTTGTCTTCAACCGCCCAAAGATAACTCTGATAAGATTTCACAAACTGAACCATGCAGTCTTCGTTACAATTATTAAAGCCCTTGCTTAAATACCCTTTGCCATTGTGTTACTATGACTGCTCTGACCGCGCCGATCTGGTAATTAGCAGACACTCCTTGTATCCATGATCACTTTCGGTCACACAGCACATGTTTCGAAGTTTTCAAAATGTCGTCTGCGCCAAGTTCAGCCGAGTTACTACACGTTGGAGGTGAAAGAACCACTGGAGAAAGCATACGAAACCAAAATGGTAAGACAGAACAAAAGGAGTGGGATACATCTCTGCTCAGATTTATTTATCTTTTTTATTTTCTTCACAGTTACCGCGGTTACGGCGATCGCAAACATTGTCAAAAGTTCTTTGGGTCCTGTTGGCCTTGACAAAATGTTGGTCGACGACATTGGGGTAAGATTTCTCTTCAACGTTCATTCGTTGTATAAAATTTAAAAAAAATAATAAGATGCATCGGTCTTTGAAAAGGGGACGAAATGTGAGAGGAAGGACTGATAACTGCTCTGTTCGATAAGTTATTAAAGTTTGCCGGTTCAGCTAGTACATTAATTTCGAACATGTGTACTTAATGTAATGGCGAATATGAAGGTACAATTCATGCTTCAAGTACTTGAGATACTGTCGTTCACTTAAGAAGAAGGAAGAAAGATTGAAAAAAAAAAAAACTGAGGACTATTCCTTTAGAAATAAGCAGTATACATTTAGTGTTACATTCCTTTTCGGTCATTCCCTTGAATTAAGTGTTTGATTTTGCATCATTTGACCAACCCAGAAGGAAAAAAAAGAATAAAATGGCCAGTATGTTACATCGGAAGTACTTGGGTGAGGAAAATAATTTGCCGGGGAACAAGTACATCCTGGTTTTACCTGAATTCACCCACTCTGTACAAATTCTTTTTATTTAATTTTCCTTATTGTTCCCTTTTTCCTTTT